AGCTTGTAATGGGTAATTGTTAAAAAGCCCATTAACTTAGTATGTTCGATTTTATTATAAATAGCATACTAGTCTCCTATCATAAAGGTAGAAAATACTAATTAGGGTGAGAAAGTTATTTGTTATTCTTGAGTACTTGTAATCTAATTTAAAGAGAAAGTAAAGAATAGGGGTTATAACCAATCCTTGTTGTTCTTCTTCTTTTACCATCTTTTCCACCCTTGTGTGTTTCTTTATCATAAAGAAACAATCTATAATCTATTTTCAAGGCATCGGATTTCACAATAATGTACAATTATAAAGGAGACTTAATAAACAATAATAAACAAAACGAACGCGTAAAAGACATGCAACAAAACCGCATTTAGGTTCTCCCCCTGCATATATTAGATACATGTAACTTTGATGTTTCATGCATCCATGAATCACTTAAGAATGTGAGTTTTGTACCCATCCAACCCCACCCCCCTAAAAAAAAAATTAAGATTTCATCCTTGCAATTTCAAAATTTTTTGCATATAGACCTTCATTAAACCAGATCAATAAAACTGATGACATGGCATGTACATGTATTTTATTGCTAACGTGGCCGCCAACTAGATTTTTATTTTATTTTTTAAATTTTTATTTTTATTTATTTTTATTTTAATTCCATGTGCATTTTTTATTATCATTTTATTGTTTATAGAAATTAAAAGTTAAAAAAATAAAATTTTGTGGCAAAAAGGTGACATTTTAGCATGCATAAGAGAGAGCTCACCACTAGACCAGCGTGTTCTTTGTGATTTATTTCCATCTCAAAAAGTATATATTACATAGTTAATATTTATTTCTAAAATTAATAAATTTGAATTATTTAATTTCAGTTTAATATACAATTATTTCATTAAGTTGGGTATATTTAAACTAATATAATTATTTTATATATTTTAATTTCAAAACATTATTTCAGTTTAATATTAATTATATTATAAAATGACCCAATTATATATGTAATATTTCACATGTATTATTAATTATATGGAAATAAATATTAAAATATATTAAAAAAATATTAATTATGTAATATATTTAATTTCTATTTATTATATATATATATATATATATATATATATATATATATATATATATATATATATATATATATATATATATATATATATATATATATATATATATATATATATATATATATATATATATATATATATATATATATATATATATATATAAATTTAGTTTATTATATTTATTTTATTTCATTATAAATCTATTTAAATATATTTCGTTTTAATTTATTAGATAGTAAATATATTTAAATATATAATAAATATAAAAATAATTTCAGTTTTAAATATATAGTAAATATATTATTTACGGGGCATTTATTATATTAAATTAATAAACTGAAATTAACTATGTTAAATGAAATTATAAACTATGTAAACTAAAATTATAAACTACGTAATAAATTGAAGTTATATTAACCATGTAACACATATATTTTAAGGTGAAAATAAATTACAAGGAGAAAAGTAATATAGTGGAATTTAAATAAAAATAAAATAAAATAATTAATTAATTAAAAAATAAAAAGAATAAAAAAATTTAAAAAAAAAACTTAAAAAAATAATGAAAAAAATTCAGTTGACAATCACGTCAATAATAAAATACAGCATGTACATGTTATGTCATCATTTTTGCTGATATAGTTTAATGAATGTTTATATCCAAAATGTCTTAAAATTGTAAGAATAAAATCTTGATTTTTTTTATGCTGAATTTTTCAAACCTTACTCGTATAACAGGAGAAAAATGCCTATTAACCCTTTAATCAATTAAGAAACAAATCTACCAACATTTTTCTTATATGTTAGGTCTAACTAGTTAGAGTGATTGTCTAATCAATTAGAATAATTGTCTAATTGATTAGAAATTTTTTGTAATCAATTAGAATAAATGTCTAATTTATTAGAATAACTATCTAAACAACTAAAAATTGTAATTACTGTCTAATTGATTAGAACGATAGTATAATCGATTAAAAAGTGAATCGATTTAAAAGTGAATCCAGCTAATTTTTTTTCCATTTTTTAGCAAATATATTTCCTATATAAAGCACTCTTGTGCTCACTTCAAAATCACACATTTTATGACTAATTAATATCTTTTTTCCCTCTTCTCTTTCTAAAAACAGTTTTTATTTACCATACATTGCTTTAGTGATGTGAGAGTGAAAAGTTTATATTGAGAGTTGTGTAAGTTTGTTCTTGTGCTAAAATTGTAAGTAATGAGCATAGTTCTTTTATATATTTATAATTGACTTTGAGGTTGCAATATAAATCTGGTAAAATATTAGTGTAAGGAAGGTTGTTTGATTGATCTTGAAGTAGAAGCTTAAGTTGTTATCAGTGAAAATCTCAAAATTGTTATCAGTGGAAATCTCAAAAGAAAATTTTTATGAATTGGATTAAACTATGTCATTTAAGGTTAAACCAATATTGATGGGATATTTCTATATTTATCTATTTATTTTTCTTAATTTATTTTCCATTGCATAATCTCTTCTTCTTCTCAATTCTTAAAGCCAACCAACCCAAAATCAATCATTTTAAAAATTAAAAAAAATTCAAAATCAAAATAACATAATTCACTTTCTCCTCTTATGTTTGAAGTCACTTGGTTAACTAGTGGCATCAGAACCTAAATCCCGTTATAAGACTAATAGTCTCAAAAAGTGGGAATTAATTCAAATGATTCATCAAACAAACTTGTATCCTTTAATGGATAGGGGTATGCTATTGAAGAGAGAGAAGATACAAATTTATATAAAGAAGATGAATTGTGATATCTAAATTGCTATAAAAAAATTGTCAATATGTTCTCATTCATCTAGCTTATAGTGTTGAGAAAAAGAACATAAAGAAATTTGGACCAAAGAAGATAAGGAAAAATTGCAACATAGTTTGAAAGTAAAAACTATTATCAATACATATCTCGGTATTAATGAGTTTTTTTGTATTTCTCAATGTTACTCTGTAAAATAATTGTGAGACACTCTTCAAATTATTCATGAATGTAAAATTGAGGTAAAAAAAAGGTTAGAATGAACACATCGACTCATGAGTATGAATTATTTAGAATGAAATTTAAGGATAATATTTAAGACATAGAAAACGGTTTGTTCATATTGGAAACCACTTGAGAACTCTGATAATTTTTTTTCCTAAATGATGATTTAGTTAACAAAGCCTTTATGTGCCTAAATTGCGACGGAAAACCTAAAGTCACAACTAATTTTTAATCTAAAGTCTTGTATTTTATAGATTTAGGTACTTTATTTTTAAAAATTGCAAAAACACAAATTGAAACTAAAAATACTAGTTGAGAATGAAGAAGGAAAAAAATAAGAAAAATCTCACACTAAAAGTTGAAGAAGGCAACTATTTAGAAATTGGTGAAGATATGAATTTGTTGATCCAAAAGATTAAGAGGTACATAATTCATGGCAATCAACAAAAAATTTAACACAAAAATGAAGATTTTTGTTCGTGTCAACTTGCTTCCAATGTAGAAAGAAAGGTTGTATAGAGCTAAATTGCCTTCGAAATTAGAAAAGAGCTTTAAAAAATTCAAAATACCTCAACAAAAAAAACAAAATAGATGTATATAACTTGAGATGACAATGATATAGACTCTTTGAACGAATCAGAAAAAAGGAAGAATCAAACATCTTCCTTATGGTGAAACATGGAGACAAGGATATAAACAATTTAACTCCCTACTTTACTTATTATGAATTATTTTACATAAGTAAAAAATTACATAATGAGTAAAGTAAATTAATTTTCTTTTAAAGTTAATTATTTATTCTATTGAAAAAAATAAAAACTAATTGAAAAAAATATATTGTTTTAGAAAAAAAAATTATTTTAATTCAAAACTTTCCTTTTCCTTCTTATACTTTTAATGAAAAATTTGGCAAATATATCAAGTGTGAAAAATACACTTGATATGTTTATCAAAAGGATAAATAATCTTAAATCTCATTCTAAATAATCAAAAAATAATCTATAATAATTTTGGTCTAGGTTATAAACCAAAAAACAATACTAAATTAGAGAAACAATGCAGTGGGGCAATATTTTTCATATAATTTATATGCTTGAAGTATGCCACCTTTTCCTTATCATATATTAAATATTACATATGCCACCTGAAGTATGCATATAATTTATATGCTTGAAGGAGAGTGTTAGAATGTTGTTTTTATTATTAATATTCATTAAAATACTATTGTATTTAATCATTCATATCTTTGTTCATCTTTTCCTTTTAATTATGAAATTTAAAGGAGAAATTATGAGTGCATGTCTCTTTAATGAATGAAGTAGTTAACCATTTCACATAATGAAATTTTTATTAAACTATCCTTGTCATATATTAAAAATGATAAAAGTTATATTAATTAAAAGATATAATATAAAAAATTATATTCTAAATTAAATTGAATCACTCTTTTATTGCTGGAGATCTTTTCATAAAAGTTGTAAATTTTATAGTCTTGTCTTATTTTAGATTTTGATGATTTCTTTTCTCAGGATTAGATAGGTGCTTGTGTCCTTTGTTGATTTCTTATTCAACTAAGAATTTATTAAGCGATTGATAAATCAGAAAAGCAAGCCAAACCTATTGGTATCAGATACCCAATCGATTAATTTGATACTAGATAACAAGCTCTAGATACCTAATCAATTAGTTTGGCAGATATCAAAGTTTGGTTGGTTATTATACCGACTAGTGTCAAGAAACAGTGACAGAAATAGAATGTAATGACATGTTCAAATTAAGATTTTTTTTTAAACTAGGGTTAAAGGCAAATTTTGTATGTAAACAAACGAGTCTTGCAATTCACAGGCTTTTAGTACACATTATAATGCCTGCAATCTTCACACAATATTCCTACTACAAAATACTAACAATTACCCTTTATGAACCATCTATAACTCATATCCCGGAAACCTTGAGTTATCAGGTGCAATCAAATCAAACCAAAGACATGCTGTCCCAGCAAGTCCATGGAAGAGAGAGTAGTCTTTCCCACCAGTAAGACCTTGCCCCTCAGCTGCCAAAGCTCTAGCATTTTCATACAAAAAACAAGAGAATGATTTTGCCCTCTCTTCATATATACTATCTTTAGTTAGTTTGTAGAGTGAAAGAAATGCGTAGGCATTTCCAGATACACCGTCAGCTAGTCCCACTTTCTTCACTAATCCACTTTTCCACACAACTTCTCCCGCTTCTATTGCTGCATCTCGTAGTTCTCTGTCATTTGGAAAAACCTGCAAGCACACATATTCAAAAGTCGTTGTGATTGTCAATTAAGAATAATTTATATAAAACACTCCCCCTCAACCCAACAAGAGTTGTTTACTAAAGATAAAAGCCTTAAGGATTTTCGGGTTCTCACACCCGAATGGACAATACCCAGTAGCCTTGTAGCCGCAGTGGCACTGACTTAAGGTCAACCGAAACATTGGGACTAGGTCGGACCAACTTGCTCACACCCGGCCCCTTAACCTCGATTTGGGGCAACTATTCGAGACGAGTTAGTATTACCTGTGCTGCTTTAGACAGTGTAATGGCCATCCCAGTTGCACCATGACTCCACTGCACTAACTTATCTCTTGGATTCCCTTCACTTGATGGATAATTTCCACTATGAGGAAAACGTTTACTTATCAAATATCTCAAACTTCCCTTTACATCCTCGGCATCTTCACTTCGAAGTGGAAAATGAAGGAGCACGTGAAGAATACCAGCGAGACCATTTGCCGCACCTAAGTATCTAGTCCCATGCCATCTATACATTAATGGACAGTCTTTAATATCAGACGCACCGGCTCTACCGCCGGCCAATACTGCATCAATAATAGGCATTAGAATGTCTTTGGGCACTACGTCTTCTCCTAGGTGCTTGTTTACAAATAATGCGGCCCATAAAAATCCAGCTCGTCCGTACAGGAGATCATATGACATTCCCAATCCACCTTCCTCTGGTCCAATAGGAAGAGCTCTTTCTTTTGCAACCTGCAGATTATTAAAAATGATTACAATTTACCATCAGAATATTAAAATTAAACTCTTAATTAATGATCAATTCCACTGTTAACAACTATAACGAATTAAAACCTGAGACTAGAGTGCACACTCTTAGAACCAAGTCTGACGAGTTTTCTATTAGTGAATATTGATTTTACCTCAATGAATAGACCCAAAAACAGGTCACGTTTTGGAAGGTCCCCCATGTAATTAGCAACGACAGCTCCAAGGGCGCATACTCCTCCTCTACCACACAAAAATGTCACGTGTCTGCAACAATCACAACAAGTTAATTATCTTTTCATTAGATTAGAGAAATAGAAATTTATTCTATTAAAGAAATTTATAGTTTAAGCTGAAAGCTGTGTTTGTAAGTATGAACAATCTTGTAATAAATTATTAAAATATAAATACTCAATTCACACTTACTTAACACAAGCATTAAAGTGACAATGATACAAGTAAAAGAAAAGCACCTGAGGGAGGCACGTGCGACAGTGACGCACGTGTCAATTATCTCCGAGCATAACAACAAATCCTCACGGCAACCGGTAACCTCAAACGACCTCAGGCAAGTGAAAGCCGTGCCAAGCAAACCCGTATACACCGTCGGATCAACCACTTCTCGCCGATTCCAATTCACCTCCACCACCTGCATCCATAACAATTCCACAACTAGATAACAACGTTTTTTCACAACGCTTCTAAGAACTACTACAAATTATCAATATTAACACATACCTCGTCTTTCAGAGAAACTGCAGCTTTCAAGAACGTTTCATTCGGAAGCAAAAGGTTTACAACCGTAGGATTCATTTTCTCTGCGATCAAATCGGACGGCTCGTGTTTAGCCTCATCGTGTCCACCTTCAATAAGTGAAGATGTCATTGTCTATATGGTAAGAGAAAACTGGAAGCAGAAGAAAAAGAAAAAGAATGATCGATAAGGTACTGACCCAATCCAAGTGAATATATTGGGTTACTTGATTTAGAACTTTATAGGACTATGTGAAAAGAAGCAAACGTGTTGAGCTGTGGTTCTGTGTAGTGGCGGTGTATGGAAAAATAATACACCTGCGTGCCACGTAAGCAATATTTGTAACTAACAGAGTATCACGTGAACCACGTGGTTTTCTAGATAAGATATTTTCTCTCTTGATTCGGTTGTTGGGGTACATGATCAGATACGTGTGGTCATTGTTATGAGAATTGTTTAGCTATTTCAGTTCCATTGTTAAGGTAAACAAATGGAAAATACGTAGTGATTTGTTCGATTTTTATTCTCAAAGCCTATGGTATTTAATTTAAATGTGTGAGACTCGTTTCATTCATGGGAATTTTCATTCGTAAGAATATATGTATTAAATTCCAATTGCTTAAGAAAAAGGAGATGAGAAAATAGTTTTATGTTAATTGTGTTATTATTTTATTGTTGTTGATTGTAAACAATTTTAATTGATTGTGAATATAAACGTGCTTAAGAAAGGATATAAGGCAATGATTTTATGTTAAATGTATGATTATTTTATTGTTGTAGATTGAAAGGAGATAAACGTGCTTATGAAAAAGGAGATAAGACAATAAATTTTAACATTAAATTTGTAAGTATAAGCGAAAAAATTTATCTATCAATTATATGAAATTAGAGTATTTGTTGAAGTCATGATTCCGAATTCTGAAAATATGAGTGATTGAATTTTTCTTTGTATCTCACCCTCTCGTTCACAACTCTCAATGGAACAAGTCGTAGAGCCGTCAGTTGTGTTTATGATTCTCTTGTGATTACAAAGGGGACCTAGCCGTATAATATATAACCATAGTCCCTACCCATTATGGGCCTAGGGTTAAAGCCCACCCTTTTACTCGCACCAATGAGGTTTCAGATACTCAGTCTTCAGTTAAAAGAGATCACTTAACTAATAGTAGAGTTTATATATGCACCCCCATCAGAATCACAATTAACCCGTTTTTCAAAAACTAAGATTATAGCTTATAAAAAGTTAGATAAATCTAACATTCTCCCACTTTGACATGTATGATTTTTATTTTAAAATACATTTTGAAAACTCTCCAGGTGCAGTATCTGAATATGACTCCATCCAACAAAAGTCAAGCAGTATTGAATCACAACGATTATTACATCCTTCATTGACATAAAACCTTCAGTGGTTCCAAATACTACGTACTCCGTCAACTAGTCATCAATGTGGAGTGTGACAAGAAAATAACATGTTAATGTGATCCAACAACCAAATGCTATTTTCTTTGTCAGTCCTTAAATTTCTCTCAAATGCATTAAAGTCAAAGAAATTGTATGGTTTTACAAACCATAATGCCTCAGCTCCAATATGGCGTCGACCACCCACACAGTGGTCCTGACAACGCCGAGCTTAAAATCATACCTCAGCTCTAATGTGGCATCGACCACCAGTATAGTGGTCTCGAAGACGTCGAGTTCAAAATTATAACCATGCCTCGAACTCCAAACTAGTGTCGATCATAGACACAGTGGTCCCGATGACACTGAGTTCCAATTTTAACAATTGACATATAAACAAAGAATGACAAATAATAATAATAATATTCATTGTAATATCAATTGCTTAAAATAGAAAGTACTTGACAATCCAACACTTAAAGTGTCCAAAATAAAATATAACATGATAAGAAAAATGACATAAAGAACAAACTCCCACTAACCAAGTACATCAAAAGAACTCACAATGTCCATGCTATCAACATGGTTTTTGAACACAATGGGCCTAAGTCCCTTAATTAAGGGATCATCTAGCATGAAATCAGTACCAATATACTCAACTACGATGTCATTTTTCTTTACAAGACCTCTGACTGTCAAATACTTCAATTCCAAATGCTTAGAATCGCTAGAAGTTTTATTATTCTTGGAGTAAAACACATATGCATTATTATCACAGTAAAACTTTAGTGATTTTGCAATGGAATCAACAATACAAAGTCCAGTCACTAAATTTCTTAACCAAACAACATGAGTGATAGCAGCATAACAAGCAACAAACTCTTCCTGCATAGTAGAAGAGGCGACAAGAGTTTGGTTTTTACTCTTCCATGATATTGCACCTCCATCCAACATAAAAATGTAACTAGAAGTAGACTTTCTATCATCAACACAACCAGCAAGATCAGAGTCAGTATACCTAACTATTTTCAAGTTGTTAACTCTCCTAAAACCAAACATATACTCTTTAGTTCTATGCAAATATCTCATCACTTTCTTAGCAGCAATCCAATGATCATTCCCAGGATTAGACTTGTATCGTCCCGAGACGCCAACTATGAAAGCAATGTCAGGCCTAGTGTATACTTGAGCATACATCAGGCTGCCCAATGCACTGTCAAAGGGTTTTTCCTTCATCTCTGCCCGTTCAATCTCATTTTTAAGACATTGATCTTTAATGAATTTGTTTCCTTTAATAATTGGAACATCTCCTGGCTTACAGTTCTGCATATTGAATATAACACCCCACTTTACCCTGTACGCTATAGAAATATTATAGAAAATACATCAGAGTTCCAAAATCAGTAGGATGTCACATTAAGTCACTTCCTTCATTTCAAATAAACCAGTAGCTATCTAGCTTTCAATTAAACAGCGGAATAAAATCAATGTTTAAATATAATCTTCACAACCGGTGGTTAAATATTATTAATCCAACAATTAAATGATACGTAACAATAAATCAAGAAAATAAGTCAATTAAACGTAATCCCGTCATCCCATGTTACGTATCAGAGTGACTCCTAAGACTCGACCGAATAGCAACACACTCCAAGCACTACTCAGGTACCTGGTCATCTGCACTCCCCAAGAAGCACAGATACAACAAACAAAAAAGGGGTGAGAACTACATTCAATAAATAAGCGGTGAAATACACATGCTAAGGAGTAGTTACATACCACACATACAATCATACACATATAACGCACATACACGTGCCACATCAATTACTGGGCATCAATAGCCCATATTCAATTACATTATGCAATGTGACTCACTAACTCGACACAATGCATGTGGTACCAACACAAATACATACGGTTCACCCTAGAACCCGATTCCCATCGGAATCCGGATAAGTCGTTTATGTTCCTCTGAACTACAACTTATCTCCACAACGACTTCCACATCAAGTCCGGATGAAACTAGGCACCCATCATGGATTCCCACCTAGCCATCTCCACAAGACACATGACATGAAATGCATGACAACACAATTATGTAATATAATAATTCAAGCATAATTTCACGATCGTCCAAGACCCACACGAGCCATCTGCTCACCGTAATCCTCTCGGGAATTACCACCATCGCACAAAATTATCCACATTCGATAATCATGGCTCACAATCATCAAAACACACCCCTTAAGGGCACACCCATATCATTCCATATTTTACCGATTTAATTCATTAATCCAATCTTTAGGTTCACTTTAGTCATATTAACCCTACCAAATCAACGGAAATGCGTTCCAAGCGAACGCTAGACAAAAATCACAAAACTGGGGAAAAGTCATCCCAGACTGTCCATACGCGTATCAGCATGGCCCATACGCGTACTGCTTGCTGTCATACGCGTATGGCCCTACCTTACGCGTAAGACCAGAGACTTCTACCTCCCAAACCCCATCAGAGTCACCCCTTACGCGTATGATTACCTCCATACGCGTATTGTCCAAGCCCATACGCGTATCATACACGTATCACCAGATGGTCGTGCTGGCACTGGGGACAGGACACGTCTGCTATGCGTACAACCCTTGGGAAGTCCCCCATACGCGTATTGACACCCCCAATACATGTATGACCAACAAATTTGTCAAAAAACTCAGATTTCATCATTCTCACGAGTTTCCCCTCTAGATCTCATCATTCTCACGAGTTTCCCCTCCAAAACTAATCTAACTCCTATTAAATCTAAATAACTAAAAATTCTAATGCTAATCTATTTCTAATTAAAAAAGTAAAATTCTAACCAAACTAAATAATTCTTAAATCTAACTTCTTAATTCTATTATACTTCTAAACTAAAAACAAAATTCTAATTCAATTCTATTAAAAATCTATTTCTATTCTAATCAAATAAATTTATTCTTAATAAAAAAAATCTAAAAAAATCCTATAAAAATTATATTCTAAATAATTCTATTTCTAAAATCTAGTTAATTAAAAAATCTAAACTCTATTTCTAATTTCTAATTAAATCCTAAATTAAAATCTAATTTCTATTAACAAACAATATATGTACAAAGAACTAGGAAATTATGACAGAATTAAAATTCACAAAAACAGCTTTAGGCCACGTGTCACGCCCTTATTGGCCAGAAATGATAAAAATTGGAAAACGTTCAATTGTGAGTGGACACGTGTCTAAGTGACATGAAATTAAGCAGGCAATGCAAAATTGAAAATAGAATCGAAACATGCAAAAATATTTGAAAATGGGTAGGACAAATTTAGGGTATGACAACATTCAATTAGAGGCTAACCCTTGGAAAGACTTTTCAAGCATGAATTATTACATTGAAATTTCCAGGATAACCCAAGAAGAGTTGTTAAGCAGAAAAAATCCTAAACCTTCTAGGGTATTTAAGTTGGCTGAAAATCTTACTGTGAGTGACCGCATGCTGCATTTTGTCCTGGCTTACATTCTTGTTCCAAAGCACTCCAAACATTCTCAGGTGAGTGATATGGAGGTTCAACTCCTGTTTGCAATTAAGAAGAATTTGCAGGTCAATTGGGCATATGTGTTTATGCAACATATGCGTCATATTAAATCTCTTGTTGGAGTTCTTCCTTATGGGCGAATCATTTCCATCATTCTAGAGGCAATCTCCATTCGTCTTCAA